TTCGATGGGCGCGCGCTCGCGCTCGCTCTCCGGGAATAGAAAGTGGCGGGGGCTGCGCTCGCGGCGCGGGAGGGGGGGCGCGCGCGTTCCACCGCTGACGCACGGCGCGGCGTCAGCGCGGCGTCAGCGCAGCGCGCGGCTACGAGTCGCGCGTGGACGCGGGAGCGGGGGGCAGGGGCGATGCGGCGGTGGATGGCGCGGTGCGGGCTATGAATAGGCGGCGCGGCTATGAATAGGCGGGGCGGCGCTCGCGCCGTGGGCGGCGGGCGCGGGGGCCGACGCGCGGCCGGGGGGCGCATTGCGCGCGAGCTATTCCGGGCGGGGCTGCGGGCGACGAGCGGTTTTTAGGCGGATTGATGAGAAGAGCGGTGAGAAGGAAGGATAGTTTTTGTTTCAAGTATTTTGGTGGCAACAGACCGGTGAAATCGCACAGGGACTATTCCTTGAAGGGCAGACGGAGTTGTTCAACGGGCGTTCAGAAGGGTGTCGTTGCGCGAAGAGAGCTCGTGGCGATTGTTGGGCATGTTGAATGCCTCATTGATCATTGATGTTTCGTACTGTAAATAGTGTAGGTGGAGGAAAGTGGGTTGGCGTTGTGCGCGATCTCGAAGGTGATGGTTCCTTGTTATGACTTGCTGACTTGCAGTTAATTGATGCCTCCGGTCCGTTGCTCCGGTCGTTGGCCAGCGACCCCTCCCCTTTTGCTCATTATGCATCACGTCATTCTGCACCATATCTACCCTTCCAAGGGTAACATTCATCTTTGCAATGCAAAGTTTGCAGTGTGCATCCGACCGGGGCGTGTCCTCTTATTATATTATTGTACATACACGACATACATTAAACTGCAAATGTAGAAAGTCGTTAAACTGCCGGGAAAGCAGTTTTTGAGTCACACTGAAAAACAAGGACTGTAACGCAGATTACACTGTAGTTGCCTTTTTTTTTTTGAACTAGCGTCTTCGCCTTGTGCATGTTATTTTACATGCCGTCGTCAGGTATGGCGAGGCAAGAACAAAACTAGGTCGACCAGTGTCCTCATATGAGAACAACGGCCGGATAGATCTATCGGCACTAGAAAGCGCGCACGTCTATAACTAGAAACATCAAAGACAAAGACCTACTGTACGACGAAAGACCAAACCACAATTATCAGAGTGCAATTAGGGTTTGGAGATTGGGGTTTTGTGGTTTCTTTTTAATTTACACCAATCTACTGTAATGTCCGACAATTAATTTACATGTGAGCAGTGTAATTACAATGAGGGGTCATCGACACATGTGCTCACACCGTTGAGCTTCTAATAGGTTAAATCCCCTAATCCCCTAACCCCTAATCCCCTAAATCCCCTAATCCCCTAATCCCTAATTCCAACCTATGACTTAATAGGTTAAGTTCATAGGTTGGAAGCTCAACATAGGGGTGAGAGATACGGGTGGTTAATAGATTGGAAGCTCTACCGTCGATGCCATCGACGCGAGATAGGGGCCAGAGCTTCCGTGCATCCCATTCCGTACCCTCTGCCCCCTCCGCCCTCCGCTTGCGCGCCCGCGAGACGCACCCGCAAGCCGCGCGACCGGCGCCGCGGCCAAGGCCCTCTGCGGCCTCTCATAAATACGGGCCGCCCGACCGCGGCCATCCAGAGCGCGTTCAACCCCTCTCTTCGCCCCGCCCGCCTGCGCTGCGCCCGCGTCTCGCGGGCCTCCTCTCCCACTTGGCGGCGCCCCGACGCCAAAAAAGCCCCCGCCTCCTCCTCGCTACACGCACCGCACGCGCGACACGCGCGACTCGAGGAACGCGCGCTCGCCCCGCGTCAGCGCGTCGGCCCTGCGCGCCCCGTCGCACAGGAAGAGCGCCGGCCGTCTTCCCGCGCGCACCGGCACCACGTACTCTTCGCCAAGCCGCAGCGACGCGCCGCACGCCGCGCCGGACCACGGCGACGTCACCACCACCACATCGCGCCGCCGCCGCCGCCCCGCCCCGCCGCAGCGCTTGTACTCGGCGGTCACGCGCAGGTGGTACACGCGCGTGCGCGGGA